GCCTGCGCGTTGCGCGCGCCGGAACTTCCGCTCTTTTCCGGTGTCACCTACGAAGGTGCGGGCTGGCCCGGACGTGTTCTCGCGCGAGTTGCGTGCCCGGACCGCGGCGTCTCCGTGTCTTCGGGAGACGTGTCCGCGACGGCTATGGGGCTGGGCTCGGGGAGCGGGCGCCCGGGCCCCGAGCCTCCCGCACGGGGACCTGCACCCTGTTTCGCTGAGGGCGCGCAGGTGAGAGCTGGGGGTCGGGAGGGCCCGGCCCGCTCTGCGCGCCCGGCCTGTGACTCCTCGGCCCGAGTCCGTGGCTGCCCGCGGGACGGGCCCTTCGTTAGCGATCGGCTCATCCAACCGAGTCGCTCCCCAAAGCTGCGGACTTCCGGACACCCCCACGGACCACCCTCGGGCGGGATAGACCGAAACCGATCCGCTTGCTGTTTGCCTTTTGCTGTTGCCGCGCCGGGTGATCTCCTGCTCCTCTAGGTTTGGGAAAACTGGTCCTGTGCGTCATAGCCTCCTGGGAGACTTTTACAATAAAGATGGAGGGCCCAGGCGAAGCAATCCCGAGGGGCAGCATTGTTATTTTTAAAGCTCTCTGGGGGAATTACAGTGTGCAGGCAGGATTGAGGACCCCTGCCCTGCCACCCAAGTGCAAGGCCAAGATGAGCGGGAGTGGGGTGACGGACGATGGTCCCCTGTGGAGTCAGGTCAGCACCCTACCAAGTTCCTCATCCTGCGAGGTGGGGGTCCCCTTTTACAGGTAAAGCGGACTCAGTAACGGGCACAGGTAGAATCTGAATTTGCATTTGCGCCTGCGGTTCCAGAGTTCGTTTGAGGAAGGCTATTGGCAAGGACGGAGAAGGGGAGGCAGGACGGGGTGCGCGCGCATGCCTGCACCGCCTGGCTGGCCTGGCAGCCTGTGCAGGTCACTGGGATCTGAAACAGTTCACACCTGCTGCCACAGAGCTGCTGCCTCAAGCTCCCCAGTCCCACCTGCTCCAGCCACTTCCCCAGTCTCCTAGAATCCCCGCTGCCTGCAATCCAGCTACTAAAGGGTTGTGCGCAGCCCAAGTGGGGCCTCCAGGACCCGTGTCCATGGGGCAGGCACTAGAGCCTGGTGTCCAGTAGACCTGGGTTGACATCCCAGGGAAGCAGTGTCCTCACCCACAGGGCGGGATGCCAACAGAAGTCGCCTCCCAGGCACATACAGGCAGGCAGGGCACAGGTATCCCTCCAGCCTTTATCCTGAAGAGCAGGGCAGAGGTGCCCCTACCCTGCGAACCCCAAGGGATCTGGGGAATGAGGACAAAGGGTGCCACAGGCTGGCCGGTGACAGGCAGCAGGCTAAGCTGCTGTCCCACATGCAGCCCTTGGTTCCACGTAGGACTAAAGTGCTAGATTACAAAGTTAAGGTAGAGAATGGGAGTGGGCCTGAATGCTCTCATCTCATGATGGGCATCCTGGCTCTGCCTGGGGCGGCGGGGGATGCGGGACAGGTGGCCCCTCAGCCCAGCTCTGCGCTTGGGGAACACACCCACTGCTGTGGCTGGGTGGTCCTTAGTCCACGCCCCAGACGGGAGATTGTGAGACCACCTTTATTGGGCCGAGTGGCCGTGAAGAAACACTTACAGGGCTCCTCCCGATAACCAGACTGAAAGCATTGCAGGGCGTGGTGTTGGGAAGGGAGTGAGTTTTTCTCCAGGCTTCCAAGGGGGTGGCCCTGGGACACCTGCCCAGGAGAATCTCGGCCCACTCAAGCTCCCCAGGTGCCCCCACAGCCCATATCCTGAGAGGGGGCACAGATGCAAGTGGGACGTCCCGTTCACCTGTGGACCAAGATGCCCTTCCACGCCTGGACATCTGCCCAAGGAGGGATGGAGCACACACAAAGGGGCAGGGTCCTCCCCAGGGTCCCACCATCCCTTGCCTCCAGCCTGCCCCCCTTTCTCTCCTATGCCATTCCCACTCCACCCACGGAGTCCTGAGAGGAAACAGCCTCCCTGGGGAGGATCCTGGAAATAAGCCTGACCCCAAATGGGCTTGGGGCCAGGAAACATATATAAATATATCGGCTGTGTATATGTTATATAAATGTATATGTGTATATATATATATATGTACATGCACACTCCCGAGGCAGCTAGCAGCTGTGCCCCAGGATGGGGAGCGCTCGGCCTCATCCAGAACTGGCCCGGCTCCTCCCCTGAGGCCTGGCCACCTTGCAAAGCCTCGGGCCAGGTAGCCTGAGGTAGCAAGGGCTGTCACTTGAAGTCAAGAGTCCAGGTGTTGGGGATGTAGAGGGACTGGGTCTGGCGGGCACGGCGAGGGGTGGTGTTGAGGGCATCCACGCTCTTGCGGCTGGAGCACACCACGTCAGCCACGAAGCTGGTGCAGTCGCTGCAGACGTCCTTCAGGACACAGCCGTGGGTGTACATGTGAGGGAACTCCTCCTCCACACTCTGCCACTGGGGCCTTTGCAGGGACCTGGGGAGGGACAGGGGCGTCAGGGAGGCCCCCCACCCGTTTCTCCACGTCCACACGCCCTCCCCCGCATCAGGCACGCAAGGTGTTTGGAATGAACATGCCGAACAAAGTGCACCCTGGAAAAAGCTCTTCCTCGAGAGGAACCTGAGTCCTGGGCCCTCGGCACCCAGTATGGTTTCCATCTCATGCTGCTCAGCCCCCAGGGCCCTCCCAGACGCCTGCGTCTGGCTTCCTTGGGGCGTCCCAGGAAACGGGACACCTCCCACTCCAGCTCCTGCGTCACCGCATTGCCTGACACACGGGGTTGGCGAAGGCACGCACTGGAAGGCGTCTCTCCGCTGTGTGGCTGTGGCTCTGGCAGCTGTCGCCCTCTGAGGATTCTCAAAACCCAGCGTGTAGACAGGGATGTGTGCAAACTTCTTGGAGGGCATCTTCATCTGCAAACAGAGAGTTGTGGGTGGACAAAGGCTTCCCTAGAGACAGTCCAGGCACACTCGCCCCTGCAGCTCTCTAGATAGCCCCCCTCCCGCCTGGCACCTGCCTCCTTCCACACACCCAGCATGGCTGCCCATATACAGGCACGGAGCAGGCACTGTGTGTTTTATACCATGCAGGGTCTAGCGTCGGGCCCTTGTATAGCAAATACCTAACGCAGGACAAGGTGGACACTTTTCCACGGCCAAGTGGCCGGATATAGAGTCAGGGTCTGGAACCTGGTGATGAAAATCCCTCTTAAGCAGGTTCCTGTTTCTGGGCTGAGGCGTAACGGGGTGACACACTTACTTATACATGTCATTGCCCGCTTACCTCAGTGCACGTGTGTGCGCAGACACCTGAACTGCTATAAAGAGCCTCCAAACACACTCAAGGAAGTTGCAGGGCCAGAAGCTAGGACTCTCGAGGGGAAGTGAAGGGTTTCTTGGCACTGTCCTACTAACATGGAGTGTTAACAAAAAGCACCTGCTAGGGTTTTTTAAAACTGTACAGTCTCGGAAAGGGTAGGAATGGATTCTGCCTGGAAGGAGGAGGTG